CACAGAGCTTTACAACCCTCTCTAAGCAGTTTACAGATTCAGCATATTGCCCCCAACAATCTGGGTCCTCATTTTATCAACCTTGGAAGGATGGAAGACCTTGAGTCAACCTTGAGCTGGTGAGAATCAAACTACCGAACTGCTGGCAACTGGCAGTCAGCAGAAGTAGCCTGCAGTACTGCATTCTAACCACTGTGCCACCATGGCTACTTGCAATATGACATTACGTCAGAGAACAGAACAATTTTTTTATTATGTGCCTTTTATTTGCCATAACTTTTAGAAGTTTTAATTGGATTGTATCATTTTTAGCTGTTCTTTGTGTTCATATAGAAATTTTAGTATCAGTTTGATGCTGCCTGAAGTTTATTTTTGCTGAACAATGGCCATGATGATCCAACATACAGTTCTTTTTTTTTTTAGTGATAATTTACTATTTTTCTTAAACTCATCAGATAAGAAAACATCAACAGTGGTATTCGAACTTGTTTGTATAAATGAAATATGATTTCTTTTGTTTGCCATAACATTGTAGAACTTTATCCTGGGAAAAATTAGGAGGAAACATAGAATCTGTTCATAAATTCAGATTACAGTGGAAATAACTCTGAGCTGAGTGTTGTACAGTAAAACACTTATTTTAGGTCAGGATTATTTTGAGTGGATTTAGATGTAGATGCAGCTAGGCAATTTAGGGCACACAAATGTTCCCAAAGCTAAATAAACAGGAAACAAATTCTTCTTGTAGACAAAACCTGGGAAAGCAGGAAAAGAAAGAATCCCAAGGCTTTCGGGGGGAAAAGTTGCTGAATAAATCAGAAACACATTGGGATTTACTGGTAAATCAATTAATTCAAGCTGAGCAACACAAAAATAGATGATGATCACATATCATTTAAGAATTTATTTCTCTAGCGTACTGAGCATGTAACCCACAGGCCAGAGCATGCCCTGGTTCAATAGCTAACACCCACATTCTATGGTTGTGTTAAAGTTTGGGCCTGGTTTACTTCCATCAAAATAAAAAAATGTTCACATCCTTGTGGCCTTTCAGTTCTCCCTGAAACATAGACAGTGAAGTGCACTCCAGTGTTGGAAATAATAAGGTATTGAGCAAGTTTAAAGGCTGCTGCAAAGCCATTTTCTTCTTGCATTAAGACAGAATTTCAGGGAGAACAGTTGGGACCCAGGACTGAGAAAGGTTATACACTCTTCTACTTGTGCTTCATCCTGTTGGTGTTCCTTGATTCCTGAAAAATAAACGTCACCCCCACAAGGCCATTAGTGCAATGTGCAGTTTAAATTAGAGTGGTACTACGGTACATAAGGGAGTTGCTTTTTTAAAGAGATAGACATCCAGTTGTAGAAATAGCTACATCGAGATCTATGCAAAATGAAAAGTTCTGCTTAAGTATTACAGAAAGAGTTCAGTTCACAGGCAAGTAGCCCCTTCCTAGCTGCAGATAATTTTCAGGTTAATCTTCAAAACGATAAAATCTCTCCCCAGTCAGCAGCCATTTATTTCCCAAACTAATTCTACTGTTTTTAATAGTTGCTTCTAAGATACTGTTCCTTACATCATTCTGTGAGCCTTAGTATATAGTCCACATTAAATTGCCAGTTTCTTCAGAATGGCAAAGGAACCATTGAGCCCTCATGCCACCACTCCATCCCTTTGGGGTATCTAGAAAATGGGTGTGATGTGTGTTGTGACTCCATGATGTTGCTGATATCAGCTTCATCACCCCTTGCCCCACTGTGGATATGGATAGTCCCTGGCATGATGCCATCTTTTGCAATTTGCATAATCTCTAAATTTATTACAGCAAAAAGGTTGGAGCATGTAGAAACTGTCCGCAGCTCCTTCTGGGGATCATCCAGCTACTCCTCTGGAAACAAGAACTTTTTGCCTTTAAATCCAAAATGCTGTAAGTCCTACTGGCCTTTCCAGTGTTTCTCATTCCAGGCTTTCGCATTTGATGCATCTGCATAATAATGATCAGCACGGTTGGAACAGATGTTTAAAACATATTATAGTAGATAGTAATAGGAATTCATGATCAATAGCATACTTTCCATTTACTCTACATTCTCATCTCTTTGCTTGGATTGAAAAGATAGTTTGTTTCATAATTTTCAGAGAGTCATAGCAGTGAAAATATTTTTCAATATACCATCAATAATAGTAGTATTGATGGTAACTAGATCTGTCAATGCACTGATAAACTTTATATCCCTTTCCATGTCTGAGTTTAAAATGAAGTTTTAAAGGTTTTTAATTATCTTTAATTATAATTAAAGGTTTTTAATTATAGGGAGATGTGAAAAAAGATAGACAGATAGATAGATAGATAGATAGATAGATAGATAGATAGATAGATAGATAGATAGAATTAACAGGATGTTTTTCATGTGGAACAGGGGTGTCAAATTGGATTTCTTCAAAGGCCGGATTAGCATTGTAGTTCTCTATGGGCCGGGGGGGGCAGGGGGTAGACGGGACGGACACCTCCTGCAGCACCCTGCCGTGCAGCCCGTTTTCCCAAACCCCCACCCCCTACCCCATGGCCCATTTTCAGCCTCCCCGGCCTCCAGCAGAGGCGGCCAAACCATGGGCCAGTCCTTTGATATTTCCAGGTCAGCCCCGCAGGCCAGATTTAAGCACCCCACTGGCCAGATCCGGCCTGCTGGCCTTAGGTTTGACACCCCTGATGTAGAAGGATTTGTACCCTCCATTACATTTGTACAGTTTTTAGGCTGCCAATAGACGTTGTGGTTCAATGCAAAGGGAATATAGTTTTTCTTTACAGAATCTACATAGAGCCTTGCAACCCTACTGTATTTCTAGATTTGCATATGAAACTCTGTTGAGAAGGCAAATAAATGTGCTTAAGGATCTGGAATACCAGGAGCTATCAATATTATCAGATGATCACTATTAGGAGGTGCTTAAGATCTGAAATACCAGAATAGTTCCTCAATCTCCTCCAATTCTCCTCCTATTTGTTTGATTGTTTCCAGCATTTTGTGGGATGATTTCCAGCATAGTCTCCTCCTTAACTCCCTCCATTGTTTGGCTGATTTCCAGCATAGTCTCCTCCAACTCTCCTCCTATTTGTTTGGCTGTTTCCAGCGTTTTGAATTAATTCCAACGTATTTCCACCATCTCAAACTCTTATCTAGTTGGTATCTATCCCACAAATCAACTAAATAGTTGGTGTTTTGGAGGGGATCAAGCTGAGAATTAATCAAATAGAACAAGCTGGAAGATAGTTAAATATTAGAGGGAGATATAGTGGAAAATATATTAGAAATTGGAGTAAATAAAATATGCCTTTGTGAGAAATCTGTGTAATATGTAAACGGGGAGAAAAAAAAACTAAGGTAAACTGATTTGAGAATAAGGGTCAAAGGATTAAAATTAGACAAAATGTTGTTTTATAAAATATAATAAAAATGGAGTGGTATTGAATTGAAACTAAGAATAAATGGTGATAAAATTGTAAGGTAAACACTTAACAAGAGGTTAGAATATTGTAAAAATTATTTTGATATGACTTGTATAAGACATAAGGTAAAGAAGAATAAAGATATTTTTAGAATTGTTATGCAGATGTAAAAATGAGTGAAAGTGAATTTGAAACTAATTTTGGATAGATATAATGGATTTATATAGATGAAAATGTTAAATTTGAGGTAAAATTGGTTTTTTCTTAAGTTTTGAATTTCTTTTTTATCTTCTTTTTTTTTCTTTTTTTGTTTATTTATAAAAGATGTAATGGAAATTGTGAGTTGAACTTGTGAAAGGAATATAAGCGTGGTAACCATCTATGACCGGATCGAGATTTTTGCTCTTGAAAGTTATGTTTTTATGTTTAAATTTGAAAAAATAAATAAAAAATATTTACAAACAAAAAAGATCTGAAATACCAGGAGCTATCAATATTATCAGATGATAGTATCACAAGTTCTTTATCGCGCTCTCTTCAAAAATAAATATAGTTGCAAAACAGTTTGCTAGAATGTTGCATTATTTTCTCCAAATCCTTTTTCTGTTGAAATGATACAGGCCCCAGCCTTAAGAATTTGACTGTACCTGAGAAGGCAGTCTGGTCAATCTAGTTTCTCGGTGCTCAATTTTTCACTTATAAAAAGGAAATAGAACTTACATATGCCACAAATATAATTTATTTATGGGCACTTTGCAAATATGAGCATACTCACATAAACACACTGTTTCAAAGACAAGAAAAAGGACTTCAGAGCATGCTCTGGAACACTTCTTTATCTCCAAGTTCAAAGCATTGGTTGTCATCCATCTAGAGAAGATGTGTGGAATTCGGGATATGAATCACTACATACAAAAAAGAAAAAAAAAGTAAGATATAGTGGTTTTCATAGATATATACCTCATTCAGCTGCTATGTCCAAATTGTAAAGTAAATTGACCCCAGATGACGTAAGAAATTATGAAAAGTAGTCACAAGATGCTTCTTATCTTATTACATTGGGATGTTGTGGTTATGGTTCAGTGCCAGCATTTTTCCAAAACTAAAGTCATGCAGTCATCAGTAATGGCTTCAAGCTGCTGCTTGGATTTTGTGACTTCTTCCCACAACAATGAACTCTAAGACCTATTAAACCAATATTGTTAAGAGAGTAAGAAGCAAGAGACATCGTCTATTTTTTTTTTTAACCAGTTCCAAGCCCAAAGATTTGCATTGTGGAGACACTTGGCACCAATACTGATTGTTCAAATTAAAAGTCAAAGTTAGGGTTAGGCTTGAATTTCCTTCACCCATTGCTTTTCTCCATTAAAGCAGATAGTCACTACCTTGGCTGCCATAGACAACCCCAAAGAAAGGAACAGATTAGACATTCGTTCATTGTATTAATATGATTCTAATATATCAATATTTATTAATCTACCCTTGGCCATGGCATATACTGCTCACTCTCCAGATTCCTATGCATCACTGGTTTGGCTTTTCTTTTTACAGGGTACTGCATGAAACAGAACTGACAGCCACGATGCCTGCTTTCTTTCGGAAAATGCTAGTCTTCTTGGTCCTCTTCCTCACAAGTAAGTAAACACCTGGGCACAAATGCTTCTATGGAAAGTGTTCACAAAACTTCCATCTTGTACAGAGAGAGGCTGTGATTGGCTATCTTTCATGTAGAGAGAAAAAAGAAATTCTCCCAAATCACATTTTGTGACATTATTGTCTATATACAATTGCTTTGATACCTTCATCTTAAAAGAATAGCATTTGCCTCTTAGCTGCAACATGCAGTCGTCGCTCGCACACATACTTCTGTAACTCAAGCTTACAGAATTTGTTATATTAAACAAAAGTCAACCAATTCACTGCCCGTTTAATATATATAGGTCCCATTGATTTCCATGAAAATTACTTCCATGTTGATGGCCACTTTTGATTAGCCACCCTAAAGGTGTTGGTGCTGGATATAATCAATTAAAGCTGGAGTCCAAGGATAGAAGCTCTGCTGTATATGCAAACCATTTGTGCATTTGCACCAGACAGGCAGAGTTTTCTGGACTACTGCTTTAGAAGCTTCCTTAGCCCTGAGGATAGGAAGGTTAATGCCTCAAGAAAAAAAAAAAAGCTGAAAAAAAGCCCTGTTTATATGTTGAAATAATACTTTTCTTCTCTGGATCGAATTCAGTTGATAATACTGTGCTTTGTTTCAGTAGGAACATGAATATTGTTTCAAAAAGGCATTCAAACAAGTGGTTTGTATACCATCCCCACTTTTACCTTGGATAGTCTGGTTTTCTTTTTCTAATTGCAGTATGTTTTACTAAAGATGAGTCCGGGATCATCAACGTAAACCTTCTCAGCTGACTTCTACATCTTTAGCAGGTGTTTTAATGAATGTAAGGCAAAAGCAGATGCAGGTTACCCTACCAAAAATACTCCTCTGAAACTTCCATCTTCTCAGATGACAAACCTGGGATTCATTAATGTAGGGGGAGGGGAGGGAGAGCCTCGGTGGTGCAGTGGACTAAGTGCTGTTAAGTGTTAGCACTTAGCTGCCAGCTGCCTGCAATTAGTGCCAGTTCAAATCTCACCAGGCTCAAGGTTGACTCAGCCTTCCATCCTTTTGAGGTAGGTAAATTGAGGACCCGGATTGTGGGGGCAATAAGCCAGCTTTGTATAGAACACCACCGCTTGGGGGGGGGGGCGAAAGCCCTAATAAGCAGGTATATATATAAAAGTATGCAGGCTATTGCTATAATGCATTGTAAGCCGCCCTGAGTCTATGGAGAAGGGCAGCATATAAATTGGATGGATGGATGGATGGATGGATGGATGGATGGATGGATGGATGGATGGATGGATGGATGGATAGATAGATAGATAGATAGATAGATAGATAGATAGATAGATAGATAAATAAATAAATGCCTCAGTTTAGTTTGAACTCTTATTAGTTTTTTCAGCCTTCTCCTTTTCCTTCTCTGAAAAGAAGGGAAGAAAGAGCAGTTGGGTACAGGCAGGCCACAGACATATTGATCCCATGAGTTGGGATCATTTTTGGAGCCTGAAAGTTGCATGGGTTTCCTGCAGTGGTCTGTTAAATAAACAGAAAGACTTAAGGCAGCTAGAGAGGCCGTCTCAGAGACATCCTTGAGGCCGGGGACTCACAAAATAAGGATGCAGAACCTTGGCATCAAATGAATCAACATGACAGTTTCCAGTTTCCAAGAGTTCTGCCACCGTTGCTGTCTTAAATGCCACCCCTAAATTTTGGTGCTTAAGTTCCATTGCTGACTTTCTCTACACCCTGTTTTATTTCTGCAATAATTGTACCTTTTCATCTTTTAATTTTATAAATAAAATAACAGTCAAGAACAGGGTGAGAATTCTATGTTTGAAGTGAATATTCTGCAGACCAGTCCAAAGTCTGTTTAGATGTGGGAAAAGTAAAAGCAAACTAGGGCATTTGTTTATTTTATAAAGGAGGAGCTCTTAATACTTCTTTGAGTTGAATTCAGAGTTTTATGGAGCAGAAGTCCACTAACTGAAAGTGTCTGAGGGAATGAACGTGAAGGGAATGAAGCGAATGTCAAATCCTGTGGTCCAAAAGGAGGGAGATCAGGATCGGAGGGCGAAGACCATCTTGTGGGCTCTTGGGCATGGGAACAAATAACAGTGGTGACGGGCATGGGTTGCTATGGGAGCCATAGGACAGGCCATTTCAGCAGAAGATGCCACCAATGCTTAGTACCAGTGGCATGTTCTTGTGCTCTGAGCTCACTCCCAGCCCCTGGAAATCCTTGGAGGCCTTGTGGTTTAGCTGCTGGTGGTGAATGCCAGGATAGTAGTAAGGCTCTCCTCATCCAAGACCTTATTGAGAAGGAGCGCACACATCACTGAGATCTGGCAGACTCCAGAAGAAAATAGCTCTGCTTTCAGGTGGGTTAGGGCAGGGGAAGAAGGGTGGCATTAACCATTTGAGAATCTCTTTTGGCCTTCAAGGGCCTTGCTTCCCAAGTTGGCTGGGAAACCTGGAAAGCTGGGCTTATGGGACTTTTTCTGGAAGCTGAGCTCATCAGATCAGGTGGGAGTGTTGCCTACTGTACCAGCCTCCCTGGTGCATAACAGTCTCCCTGCCTGAGCTGCTGGAGGCCATCTCAGGGTTAGTGGTAGAGTTTCCCAGGCTTATGGTCCTGGGGAACTTCAATCTGCCATCTGTGGGTATGGCCTTGGAAGGGGACCAGGAGATCATGACTACTATACAGCCATGGGCCTAATCCAAATCATGTCAAGTCCAACTCGGGACAGTAATCACATGCCAGATATGATTTGCTTGTCAAAGCAATGGCAACATGATTAGTGGAGAACAACCTGTTGGTATCCTCCTTGTCATGGGGAGATCATGCCCTGTTGGCCTTCAGATTCTCTTATGCTGTTCTCTCCACAGGGAGGCCAGACCCATTCCAGCAATCTGTCCCTGGCAACTAATGGCAACAAAATGGTTTCCAGAGGGAACTGGGGAATATCGGAGAGTGGGGATGTCTGCATGTTCCTGCCAAAGCTCTGATAACGTCCTATAATCAAAGGGCAGCCAAGATTTTGGATAGGATCATGTCTGTGTGACCTCTCTTGACTCATCAGCCCTAATTCTTCCCATGGTTCATGGAGGAGATGAAGGTTCAGAAAAGTGTTAAAAGACACCTAGAGTATCACTGGAAGAAAATGAAAGAGGATTCCAACTAGATACCACTTAGAGCTGCTTGTGGTGGTAATAGTGGAAAAACATTACTATTTTTCCATCATTATTGCATCCTCAGAGTGTCCTCCAGCTGTCAGTCCCTCATGGGATAGGAGAGCTCTGGTGATCATCTTTAGGAACGCACCAAGGAACCTGTTCAACACCTGGCAGACAAAATCACTTGGGTTCATTCCCAGTTGGAATCCATACGTGGTGCAGATCCATGTGAGATACCTGGGGAAAGATCTTGTACAGTTATCTGAGAATAGTGCAAATGCTGTTGGACTTGACAAAGTGGGCAGAGTCTTCAAGGCCATCAGTGCAACCATCTACTGTATCAATTAGAACTTGTCCCTCCTGGTTGATGAAAGTTTCCAGGATGTGACAGCTAGTTGTGTTCAGGCAGTGATAAATTCTTCACTGCACATGAATCTTATAACTACAACTCTCTAAAGTTACTCTGTGAACGTACAACTCTGTGAAGTTACTTATTGTGAGGACCTCTGACCAGATGTGTGCATCTGAGCAAGTGTAGTCTTAAAAACAGCAGTAATTTGAAAACAGCAGTAATTCATCCTTGGTAGGTGCTTATGAGATTGCAATTTTATTTTTAGGATGTTTTGTTCATTCAACACTTGTTTTGCAGCTATTTTTCCATGGGACTTTTTAAAAGTTTGGGCACTATCCTATTTGTATGAAAATTGCTATCTTACATGGACAGATTGCTAGTCTAGTCTTTAGTTTAGCTCTTCAGGCTGAAATTAGGTGGCCGACTCAGCTGGTATGTTCTGAGCTGCCCCTCTGTCAGCCCCCTCTTCCACAAAGACCCTGCAGGAGAAGGGCAGTATGGACAACTGTTGGATCTGCCTGAGTGAGAGCTGTGGATCATAAACATAATACTTTTGGTGTGTCCCTATATAATAGTTAAGTGTTCCTATTGAACTTCATACTAAGATGGCAGATTCAGCTTTTTGTGGTGATGATGACTGAACTAGGCAGGAGATTGTAGTCGGCAAGGAAAAAGAGGTCTTGGATAAGGAAGGGTTGCAGGTGTTGCAAATCAGCAATATGGTGAGTAGGTTATCTAAAAAGAGAAGCCTTCTTCTGGTTGGTGACTCAACTGTAAAGAGTGTCTTTAGGAAAGGATATGGAAGTTTTGAAAGAGGTGAGTTGTTGCCAGCAGAGAAAAGAGGCACATTGTTGAGATTTGTAGGAAGCAATTCAGGAAAATGCTTTCTACTGTATCATTTCCCATGGATTTCCTGGCAATTTTCATTTTCATTTCACATCCTTAGCTTGTTTAGATTTCTTCAACACAAATCACAGCAGACACTTCAGTAACAGGGGTCAAAATTAATGGGTCAGAATATGCCATGTTCTAGGAAGGAAAAAAAATCCTTATTACACTGGAGTTTTCCAGTTGTTCTGTACACAATGCCTGAATTATACTCACATCATGCAATTACTCATAATTTATTGTTCTGCCTGAGACCAATCTCAGGCTCTTCCTAGAAGGAAAAGGCATTAGATGAAAACAAGACCCTTTCATTCATGGCAATGAATTCGTTTTTAATCAAATATCTTGACTGGCTGGCCTCTAGCCCCTGCCTCCAAATGGAAAATGATTTTGCTTTTCAAGCAGTTCAAATGTTTAGATTTTACAGTTGCTTTGTTTTTATCCCTGTCCTTACATTCATCTCTGTACATTCTTCCGCTATCCTTTATGTTCTGTCTCTTGCTCATTTGATTTCCAAATGGTTTCTTAAAGGTGTGAAAGAAATCAGCTCCCTGGAAATTACTCCCAGTGCCCACGAAGTTGTCCTCAATCTCTACACTGATTTTACCCTGAAATGTTCAGGCAATGACGAGGTTAACTGGGAAACAGACAACAAGCATACCAAATTAGACACTGTGCTGGAGAAAAGGGGCACCATTTTTACCAACACCCTCACGTTAAGGAACTTGACTGGTTTGAACACAGGTGAATATTTCTGTACCAGCAATCAACCCCTGGATGGAAAGGCCATCTACATTTTTGTGCCAGGTAATGGCGATTGCACAACTTTGATACTTCTAATCCTGTAATTTATGCTTCATGTATATGCAGGTATTTGGTTCTGTGGAATGAACAGAAAGTTCAGAAGAAGAAAAAACAATGATTCTCTGTTCTAGATGCAAACATGGCTTATTTCCAGATAACTCAGTCAAATTTACATATTTTCCAGGCCACACTACTTTTCCTAGAATATTAATGATACAGTATTTGCTTCTTCCTACTATCATCTCTACCTGCTGGGGAGGACCTTCAAAAGTTGAAGTAGGATGTCTAGATGTAAATATCCTTTTTTGTTTTTCATATACTGTATACCAGTGATGGCTAACCTTTTTGCCATTGGGGGCCAGGAGTGGGTGGGTGGGTTGTATTGCGTGCGCATGTCCACACCCATAATTCTATGTGCCCTGCCCCCATGCATGTGCATACGCCCACCCACCCCCGTTCCCTCCGCACCTAGCACATGACGGCATGGTAGGCCCAGTTTATTGCTCTCACCAGCCTCCAGAGCCTTTCTAGGAGTCTGGAGAAGGCGAAAACAGCCTCCCCCATCCCCTCCAGAGACCCTCTGGAGGCCGGAAATGGCCCATTTGTCTACTTCCGGTGGGACTGGAAGACCCATTTTTTGCTGTTCCCAACCTCCAGAGCCTTTCTAGGAGTCGTGTAGGGTTAGCAAATGGGCCATTTCCAGCTTCTGGAGGACTCTGGGGAGGAGTCCGTTTTTGCCCTCCCCAGGCTCCTAGAAAGGCTCTGGAGGCTGGGGACAGCAAAAAACAGGCCTTCAGGTCCCACCGGAAGTTGGCAAATGGGCCGTTTCCGTCTCCGGGGGGGGAGGCTGTTTTCGCCCACCCCAGACTCCTAGAAAGCCTCCTGGAGGCTGGGAAGAGAGAAAAACAGGCCTTCCCCACCCCCCGAGGTTCTCTGGAGGCAGGAAACAGCCTGTTTCCCTACTTCTGGTTGGCCCAGAAGGCCCGAAAATCAGCTGGCAGAGCTGAGCTCGCATGCCCACCAATATGGCTACGCATGCCATAGGTTCGCCATCAAAGCTGTATACCTTAAGATCTACCTACTTTTGAGCTTTGGCTATGGCCACCAATGTAATGCAGAACCTAACAAATTTTGTCTATGAGAATAAAGACTTTGAAATGGAGGCAAAAATCCTGTTCCTCCTTTAAACCGATCTATGCTATCAATACAGGATTAATACACAGGGTTTTTTCTTTGAGATAAATTCCTCTGCTGCCTCCATATATAAAAGTTACAACCTTGCGGCCTATTTAAAACCAATACCTATCATACCAGCTGTGGAGATGTACATATATATGCACTCATACATTTATACACATGCTAAACCCCAATACACACACACATCTATTATACTGTGGAACAGTGTAATAGAGAAGAACCAAGCCACATCCCTCTGCAGAGAAAACATCATCATTGCCTTTCTCCTCCACATTCCATATTGAGCTGCTCTGGTCATAAGTGTATTCCTTGTTGCATCTAGGACAGAGGTCTCCAATCTTGGCAACTTTAAGATTTATGGACTTCAACTCCCAGAATTCCTCAGCCAGCTTTGCTGGCTGAGGAATTCTGGGACTTGAAGTCTACAAGTCTTAAAGTTGCCAAGGTTGGAGAAACCTGATTTAGGAGGCTGTTTGAGGTAACCAATCTATCTTCAGTCTTTGTGATTTAGATACCTCCCTAGTCGATGACAAAACCAGCTTCTTTCCATTCTTCTTCATAGATCTCTCCATGCCTTTCCTACCAAGCACCCAGGAAGACACCTTTGTGTTCAGCACAGGCTTTGTTGAAGTCATTATTCCTTGCCGTGTGACAAACCCCAATGCCACGGTCTCTCTTCATGAAAAGAGGGTTAATGATCCAGTCCCTGGAATGTATTTTCCACAGCAAGGCTTTAAAGGACAGTTTGAAGACAAAGCCTATATCTGCAAGGCAACGATAGAAGATGAAGAGTTTGAGTCTGAAACATTCTATGTCTACAATATCGAAGGTGAATCTTGGCTCAATGTTTACACGTTTTCACTATTATAGGTTTAGCCAGTGTGTGGAGCAGAAAGGATCCTCTGAATGAAAACAAGACATCATCCTAGATAGAGGTGCATTAGGAATAGCACTTAGACTTATATACTGCTTCACAGTGCTTTACAGCCCTCTCTAAGCAGTTTACAGAGCCAGTATATTGCCCCCAACAATCTGGGTCCTCATTTTACTGACCTTGGAAGAATGGAAGGCTGAATCAACCTTGAGCCAATCAGAATCGAACTGCTGGCAGTCAGCAGAATTGGCCTGCAATATTGCATTCTAATCACTGCGCCACCCAGCAATGGGAACGCCACACAGAAGAGAAGCCCTATTTTAAAAAAAAAAAAGCTTGTGCTCATCTGAAAAAGACAAAAGAGCGGATTCTGCTCATTGCTTCCTGGCATCATTCTGGTGGGTGGAATTGATAAATCTTGTATATCTGCTTTACTAAAAATCTTGAGCAAGCTTTGCAAAGAGATCCATCTTGTATTTCCTTTGGGGAAAAATACCTCTGTTTTCAGTGAGAGCACATTCATTAAACAACTGAGAAGTGAACAGGTTGTAGCGGAAACTACATCATTAGTTGCCAAAATAATGGGCTACTCTTTGGCACTTGAGCAGGACTGATATGTCTGTTATAGTAGGCTGATCTGTTTGATCTGAGCTATAATATTTAAGTTGCTTTGCATATAGGGCATTTGTCTGATTATTATAATGTGAATTTATCTTTCTGACTATCTTTCAGCCTGAAGTTGAGGGAATGGTCATGTCAGGTCACCTTGTTGATTTGCCAGAGCAGAAACTTAATCAGATCTCCATTGTGATTAAGTTCAATGATAGGCCAAGGCCTTTGCCCTGTTCTCCACAAGATTTTAAGAATTTTAGGCTCTAATAGAAGAGAACGTATCTACCTCAGGGTTGAACTATGGAGTCCTTGGTGCTCTCTGAGCTTTGTTGTTTGCTTGCAGACATTTTATTACCCAGCTAAGTAACATCATCAGCCTGAGGGTGTTACCTAGTTGAGTAATGAAACATCTGCAAGCAAACAAACCCAGAGAGCATCAAGAACTCCACTTTAGGGGCTCTTGTTGTAGTTCCATACTGGGCTAATTATTATTCACTGTTAATATCTTATGCTTTATTAATATTGAAGTTTTCAAATTGTCCATGCAGTGAAACCCACAGAAAACAATTTTCTCACTCTGAGACAGCAGCATATTGATTGAGCTTGCTGCAATTGTTTTTTTCATAGAAGTTGCTGTGAGCTAACTTTCTTCCCTATTCACTAGTTTTGTTCTTTTACAGTTTCTTCCACTCCTACATCCTTCATCAATGTTTCTATCAGTGCGGTGCAAACTATTTTGAAACAAGGTGAAAATATCATTGTGACATGTACCGTAAAGGGCATTGAGTTGATCAGTTATATCTGGAGTTATCCTGGACAGATGGTAAGCAAAGAGATATGGATCTTTGTGTGAATGTTTGCATTTGTGTCTGTGTTTTCTAATTCGCACAACACTATCTTATGCCCTAGGATATCAAACCATGTAATAGGGCTGTATTACTATTATTTATCCTTACCTTTCTAAATATCTTTCTAAATATATATCTTTCTACCTATTCCTTTAGCATCTTATGACTATCACTTTGTTGTTATGATTTGTGCTGGTTATTTTATTTAGTATCTTACGGCTATCATTGAGTGTTCTATCTTATGATTCATGACAATTGGATTATGATTGTGGTCATGATTTATCACCTGATGCTTGTATGTACACTGAGAGCTTATGCACCAGAGACAAATTCCTTGTGTGTCCAATCACACTTGGCCAATAAAGAATTCTATTCTAATCATAGGAAATAAAATAGACTCCGAGATATCTTCTCTAAAGAAGTATGCTTAGACATTACTGCAAAATGGCAATTAAATATTTGGTCCTCTAAGCAAAACAAAGACATTTCCTTTCTTAATTATTACAGAAATAACTACAGATGTTCTTTCCTAATGACAATAAAGCCAAAATGACAAAATGTGTATTGTGTATACTCTACCAAATCCATTTATGTTGGCCCCACCATAGGAAGAGCCTAATCAGTTGTTGGTGTTAATTATATTTATGCCCCTAAATAATGGTCAATTATACAGGAATAGTCCAATAAGTAGCTTGGCCTCAGCTAAATACTTACATATTTACTATATCTGCCATTGTGAACATTTTGAATTGGCTTCAGAAAACAGCTAGCAAGAAGTGAAGCTATTTCAACAGGTGAGTTATTATGGACAACCAGAATGCTTCTGCATTCTGACCAACAACAATTTCTGGATGCACTTTCAAGCACTGGCTAAACAACAGCTTTACAATTCACCAACCTTGAGATTATCACATGACTTGCCCAAACTAGGTCTTTCTCCTTTAGGTAGGAGTGAACCTGGATTATTGGCAATCTCTGATAAAAGGCCCTCCCTGTCATTCAAGCTATGTGACTGTCCAGCATGAGTGCTAGATCCAAGAGAGCCCCCATATCTTTAAAGGAGAATGCTTTAAGGCAGGGTTGTCAAACTCAAGGCCCGTGGGCTGGCCCTCGCCCTTGGGGTGCTTAGATCTGGCCCACAGGGCCTCCCTGGAAACAGCAAACCCACCCGGGGTTCCTCTGCCAGTGAAAAGGAGCATGTTTTCGCTGGCAGAATGCTTGGGCCACCACAGGCACCCTCAACACGAGTGACGTCAAGCTGGTCAGCCCCCACGCCCGGCCACACACCCCTGCCTGCCAGAAGTCAAACACAACCCTGATGAGGCCCCTCAATGAAATCGAGTTTGACACCCCTGCTTTAAGGCATATCTTCCAAATCCTAAAGTTCAGTTTCAGAAATCAGCAGCATCTTTCTCAGTATTTAATTTAGCTCTGTCACTCTGCAAATTATTTTGCAATTCAGAGACTTTTTTTTCCCTTCACTTCTCTTCTGTGTATCTGAGATTGTTGATACGACAAAGCAGTATTCCACCGATATTTTCTGCTGCAACTCATGTTTGTTTTTAAAACTAACATGGAAGCTGAGAAAGATGTGCATTTTATCATCCAGAGTAGCAGATTTATATTTTTATTACTATCAAATATCCTCATCAAAGAAGTGTTCTACAAAAGAGAATTAGCCTCCTGCTTCTTGAGGAGAGAAAAGGTATACTGCAACTTTTATCATATATAGTTCAGGTTTGCTATTGGTATGTTTTCTCTTGAAATCTTACGTGTCACACGTGCCATCGGACACTCTACTAACAAGAGAGGAACAATTGTCATATTTTCACAGTAAAGAAAATACATTAAATGAAAGCATTTCATCATTTGAGATAGCATATGGTTATGTTCCTTGTTGTTTGAGCTTTGGAAACTCAGTATTACTTCCTCTTTTTACAGGTAGGCAAGGAAGTAGAACCCGTGACACATATCGTTCCAGGAGTCAAACATCATACTAATTCCATCCTAACCATTCCAAATGCAGACTTTGATGATCAAGGTCTATATGTATGTGAGACCACGGATACATATTTTGGACAAAAAGAAGAAAAAAGTATCTTTATCAGAGTGATTGGTATGTTGGGCGAAATCTTTTTCTTTGTCACCAGGTTGATACTCTTCCTGAAATAACTTTTACGCCTTTAGGCATTTCAGTAGTATACATAGTGCTGATTTTCATAGGCAACATTGGAAAACAAATCCCTTTTAATTCATTTCAATTGAAAAATAATAATACAGGTAGTCCCCTACTTACAACAGTTCATTTAGTGACCGTTCATACTTACAACGGCACTGAAAAAAGTGATTTATGACCACTTTTCACACAGTGAAAGTTGGTAGGTTGCCTCCAGTTCACACTGGTTCTATAGAACCGGTAGTAAAACCGGCAGGAGGCTCCGCCCACCGACCCCGATGTCATCAAAATGCATGCGCGCGCGGCCCCGTTGCGAACTGGTAGTAAAGGTAAGTAGAACTCACCCCTGACTTACAACCTTTGCAGCATCCCCATGGTCACATGATCAAAACTCAGATGCTTGGCAATTGGTTCATATTTATGACAGTTGCAGTGTCCTAGGGTCATGTGGTCCGCTTTTGCAACCTTCCATCAAGCAAAGTCAATGGGGAAGCCAGACTCACTTAACAGACTAACTTAACAATTGCAGTGATTCACTTAACAAAAGTGGCAAGAAAAGTCATAAAAAGGGGCAAAATTCACTTAACAAATGTTTCACTTAGCAACATAAATTTCGGGCTCAACTGTGGTCATAAGTCGAGAACTACCTGTAATGTGTAAATCAGTTTACTAGTATCATTTTATTTTGTTTAAGAAATGCACATTTGTCATAAGACTCTAAACAAAACTACAAGGCATCTCTTATATTTTGCTCAAGATGTCAACTTTTTTTCCCCAGGAAAAAACATAGATTGCCTAAGTGGCACAGGAGGTTTTTTTTATTATTATTAAACTGGAATTGTGTTCCAGACTCTGGTTTCTTTCACAAAACCTTATGTGATAGATATGCCAAATTTCAGCTCAAATTGCTCACAAAAATAGCAAAGCAGTATTTTCTTTATTAGTTGCCTGATAGTTTTGTTCATTCAGAAACAGAGAAATATTTGCTTGCAAAGTTTCTCAAAATAACGCTTCATGTTAAAGGGGAACTAAAGAAAATCAAGGAATTCCTAGGCAAAATTGCCTAACGTTTTGATGCATTTTGGTTATTTCCATAGAGAGGAACTTCTGTTTCAAAACAGTTGCTCTCTCTCTCTCTCTGAAAAAAGCAAGCCACCAAAAATAAAAACAACCTATTTTGCAGATCCGCCTGTCCCCTGCTAAAGAGCAAGGGATTTTTTTTTCTAGCCTCCAAGAAAGAAAACAGATATTCCAGGTTTTCTAATACAACTCACCTTGGACCAATCCAACACTGTAAGGAGGAGGTAACAAAAAGGATTCTCAAACTTTCTGTGCTTTATACCTCATTAAAAAAAAGAAGGTAGTGTGACAGTACACTACAAAGCAGGGGTGAAATTCAAAATTTTTCCCTAACGGTTCTGTGGGCGTAGCTTGGTGGGAGTGGCAGTGGAAGGATATTGCAAAATCTCCATTCCCATCCCACTCTGGGGCCAGTCAGAGGTGGTATTTGCTGGTTTCCAAACTAATCAAAATTTCAGCTACCGGTTCTTCAGAACCTGTTAGAACCTGCTGGATTTCACCTCTGCTACAAAGCAGTGATAAGTGATTTCTGTTCTGTGATCAGTTAAAATAAAATTTTAAAAAGAATCCTCTAACATTTATAGCATTAAGTTAACTAGTAATGCTATTCACTGAACCATGACCTTTCTTCACACAAGTTGGCACTTTATTTTTTTCATTTTTTAAAAAAGCTTAATTGCAGAAAGGCTAAGTCCAGGTTACAGTGTTTATAAATTAGAATAGTAATGTTAAGATTCAAGTTGAAGTTCTTTCTTTAAAACACATAGTTTTATGCTGCTTATTAAAATAGTCAATTTGTGCTAAAACAGAGAACCAATTAACTATCCTCATCATTAACTCACATTGTGAAACAAAAAAATTAATATAGGTCCATTTGTGTCTTTTCGATTTACCCTTTCTGATCTAGAGCGTGGCTTTGTGACTTTTCACACTGTTCTGAATGAGACCGTATTTGCAGAACTCCACAAAAGTCACACCTTTTTGATACAGATCGAAGCCTATCCAACTCCAACCATCATCTGGTTTCAGAATAACAAGCCCCTGACTTCTGAGAGCAACAGTGATTTTGCTATCAACAGCAGGAATTTGTCAGAAACCAGGTAAACTGTTTCATCTCAATATTTTAGTATATGCAGCATTAAGCCATCTATTATTTTTAATTGATATATTGTATACATCATAGATGGGAATCTATCCTCCCTTTATTAAGAAAAATCTTCTATCACTAATGGATTTTATAAAACTTTGCACCCATTTGGGAAAAAGTTGATAATAGTAATAATATAAAGATAACGGAAATGTTTTTTGTTTCCCTTTCTCTGTAAGAATTAGTCCAATATAAATCAAGCATCCAGGAACTTATATTTCCTAAATCAGAAATCCGAATGGGATGGCACACTATATTTAAGTTAGTTCTCATTTAATACATGATGGCAATTCTAGTTTATCAAATATCACAATTCATTTTAATTTAACTGAGTTTCTCTCTTTGAGTGAAAATTTTCCCCCTTGAAAAGTATCATAATTTGTGCTTCCATATAAGCTCCACTATCTTGACTATTGTAAGATTCTTTTTTTCTCCAGGTATCAAACTACTCTGACCCTCGTAAGGGTGAAAGCAAGTGAGGGAGGTTTGTACACTGTCCGAGCATTTCACGAAGATGACTCAAAAGAGCTCTTCTTTCATTTGCAGATTAATGGTGAGCACACCTCCTTGCAATCACTCAGTTTTATTTACAGCCAAAATAACCTCTTTGCAAAGATTATACTTTATTAAATGTATCTTTATTTTAAGTCATATTTTAAATATCCAGGACAGGGCAATTAATTTTCACTTAACTATACCAAGAGTAGGGTGAATCACCATGGGGGGGGGGGTTTGCTATAACAGTTATAACGTGAGGACCTGGTCATAAGTAAGGGATTTTTTTGAGAGGGGGAGGAGTCTGCTGTAACTTTGACTAGTCGCTAAATGAGTAGTCAAGGATTACATGTATATCACACGGACTCTCATAAGACTTTGGGAACGCGAAATGTCATGAGATTTCTTGCAAAAAGAAAAAATATAACTTTCTTCCAGAGCCAATTTTAGCACGGGATAGTCTTGGCTATCCAAAGAGAATATGTTTCCCCTTGAGCAAGGATAGTGATGGGGGAGAAAAACCACTTGTGGCTTCCTAGGCTAGCCACACCCCTGCCTGGAACCTCTGTTCAAGAACTGTAGCTATTGGCTATCACTTGTCAATGTCAACGAGAGTACCCAAAGACAGTCCACTGGCAGAAACTGGCAGAATGAAGAATAGACGTGTGTAGGGGTCTCTGATTGAGAACATAATCCTATTTCTGGCCAATGCCATCTGGAGAATCAAAGAAATTGACTGTCCTCTTTTGTTGTGGTCTTTTCAGAACCTGGAAAAGAGGAGGGCAGTTTGGAAAATGAAGCAAGCTGTGAATGTCCGCATATCCCTCCTTTATCAGCTACAGCTGAACATTAGCACGGAGTAGGGTGTCCCTGGTACACTTGCAGCTCCTTCATGCAGCTAATCAAAGGATGAGGGGAATCTTATTAAACCAAGGAGATTGAGAGGCTCCTGTCATCAGTCATGCTTTCCAAATATATTCTTATTCTCTCCTGCTTGTTCAATAAAAGCCTTGCTTCCATCAAGCGGTTGTTTGGATGATTGCAGTCTAAACAGGGAGACGTGGAGTTGGGTTCAAAGGCAAGGCAGGCAGAAAATTGCAAAATCTGTATAATGGGATTTGTAAGAGAAGAATTTAGCATTGCACGATTTCCCCTTTTTAGCCAAAATGTAAACATAAATAGGAAAAATTGGAGTATTGGAGAAATGATAATAGGAAGGCCGTCTTAAAGTATCACGGCAGGAAGTAAAGGGGACATGGATTAGAAAGTAGGCCTTCTCTTGCATAACCTCCAAATTGCAGAACATTCTGTCTGTAGAGCCTGGCTCACATTGTTTCACTGCTCAAAAAGATGCTAAAACCTTTTATTTAATATGGAAAATTATGATGTCTAAGATATATTTATGGGCCATAGTGTATTCTTTATTGCTTTTTGTTTTAATATTCCTTTTATTTTTATTGTTCTAAAATCCCAGAATCTTTGGATTGAGTGTCTTTTTTTTTTTCTTTCTGGGGAAGAATGGTGGCTAATAAATAAATGGGTCATTTTATCATCTAATGCAATTTTCATTTGACGCTGTTCTCAAGGGCTTCTTATGCCTCTCGAGCAAAAAGCGTCTTCCTTTCCTAAAGCTGTCACTTTTTAGTGGGTCTTGAAATTGTCCCATTAAGGATTAAAACAGTTTTCCGTTCTTCCTTCCAAGTGCGTTGTGTGGTTGTTACTCCAGACTTTCCTTTGTCATGTGTTACTGTCCATGTCCAGCTCCCTGGCTCAAAGTTAGTAAAAGCTATCAGAAACTCAACACTGCATGTCAAGAATTTTAATGCAGGGGCATCTGTGGGGGATGAAGCAATGGGAATTTTATTTAATTTTTAAAGTAAAATTGGCAGCCACAACACTGCAGTTGAAACGGCACCATTTTTTTTAATGAGAGTCACATGCGCAACACTACTAAATGGGCTTCAATTTAAATGTCATCTTGACATTTAATTATTAGGATAAAGCTGCTTTAATGAGCTAAATTGCTCTCTGTCAACAGGAAGTGGAGATCCTTAGTTTATCTATGATCATTTGATTAATTAAAGGATTTAATTATTTTTTTCTGGATTTCCCACAGTTTAACAATTACTTATCCTTCTACTTCTTAGCCAAAGTGATTGTGATTATAGTCAATTCATATTCACCTAAAGGGTTCTGGTTAGATTCATACAACATGCTAATCTGAAGCCTAAAAGCTACATTATGGCTTAGAATATTGTGTAAACCCAATCGTTATTACTCAAAAACCATGGTTTATGATTCAGCATACCTAGCCAATTGTTGTTTATGCAATAATTCTTAAGAAAAATCACACCTTGGCATGTTATCTTAGTGGGTATTTGCAGTGGTTCACATGAATGAAAATCGTATGGCACCTTCAGTCTGCCATTTTTGTGTGTGTAGAATTGTGGAAATTTTCTCCCATTGCTGTGCATGCATTAAAGTGTGTCTTCAATGCAGGACCACTGTGTGCATAACAACAAGTCTGGCTATTAGGTAATAATGTTGCCATGTTTTCTGTGATTTAATGTGATCATTAATTTACTGACAGGCTCTGTAACTATAATGCATCATTTATTTGCAATCTTCCAAGTAGCAATATTGCTCAATAACTAGTGGTAACTGTGTATGTCACCAGAACTTTAGGGGATTTCCAAATAAAATTAATTCCAGAGATGCATGGCTATGAAACTAAAACCACTCAGTTTAAAAAATTCTAAAAAAATAGAGTATAGGATAAATGGAATATCAGTTGAGCAAGATATAGCAGTGAATTTAAACATCTGACTCTCAGAAAGTATCCTTTGTACTGTATTGTTCATTTTTCAGGAAGCTTTCCCTTGCAAAAGCTGTATACCCCTATCACCAATTATTTGTTATCTCATATTCTTTTCTCCAATATAACCAGTCCCAGCTACAGTGACTGAGCTGAGAGACAGTAGCAACAAAACAAATGGTGAGCAAACAGTGATTTGTACTACAGAAGGAATGCCCCAACCAGAGGTTACCTGGTATACCTGTAATAATGACAAATGGTAAGGAGAACATTTGCACCAAACATATTGAGTGCTTTTGCATTTAAAGTTCTGGGTGGGGAGAACAGCAGGAAAGAACTCACCATGGGATTTTGCTGCAGACCAGTCTTTTTATAATCTCATTATATAGTACATGAGGTAAATTCAGATCTTGCTGGTTAGAGCATGATTTGAATCTCACAAGAAGTAAAATAAGCATCAAAATGTCTCAGTGCATTCATAGGTGGGGTGCCACAAGGGTCGGTCCTCTCGCCCCTTCTGTTCAACTTTTATGTAAAGCCGCTGGGTGAGATCATCCGTGGCTTCGGGGTGGAGTTCCATCAGTACGCTGATGATACCCAGCTGTACATCTCCACCCCAGGCCACCCCAACGATGCCTTTGAAGTGATGTCCCAGTGCCTGGAGGCCGTGCGGGCCTGGATGGGGAGAAACAGGCTCCGACTCAACCCCTCCAAGACCGAGTGGCTGTGGCTTCCAGCGTCCCGATATAGCCAGCTGACGCCATCGCTGGCTATTGGGGGCGAATCACTAGCCCCCACGGAGAGGACTCGTAACTTGGGCGTCCTCCTGGACGCACGGCTGTCTTTAGAAGACCATTTGACGGCCGTGGCCAGGGGGGCTTTTTATCAGGTTCGCCTGATACGCCAGTTGCGTCCCTTTCTAGATCGGGATTCTCTACGCACAGTCACTCAGGCACTAGTCACTTCCCGCCTAGACTACTGCAACGCTCTCTACATGGGGCTCCCCCTGGGGTGCACCCGGAGGCTCCAGCTGGTCCAGAACGCGGCCGCACGGGGGATTATGGGAGCGACGAGGCGCTCCCATGTGACACCTCTCCTGCGCAAGCTGCACTGGCTCCCGGTGGTCTTCCGGGTGCGCTTCAAGGTGTTGGTGACCACCTTTAAAGCGCTCCATGGCTTAGGGTCGGGGTACTTACGAGACCGCCTTCTGCCACCAATAGCCTCCCACCAGCCAATACGCTCGCACAGAGTGGGCCTCCTCAGGGTGCCGTCCGCCAGACAATGTCGGCTGGCGACCCCCAGGGGGAGAGCCTTCTGTGTGACGGCGCTCACCCTCTGGAACAACCTTCCCCCAGAGTTACGTATAATAACAGACCTCCGGATTTTTCGTTGGGCCCTGAAAACCTATTTATTTCAACTAGCTGGGCTGGCTTGAGTTTAATTTTAAATTGATTTTAAATTGGGTTGTTTTAATTTATGGCCAAAATATTTAATTATTTTAATACTGTTTTTAAATTTTCTATGCTCTGTTTTTACTTTGGCTGTGCACCACCCTGAATCCTCTTTGGAGAAGGGCGGTATAGAAATTTAATTAATAAATAAATAAATAAAATAAATAGGTGCATGCATGTCCAGCATTCCAAGCCCCCAATTCCAGCAAGTTATCCTCCGTTTCCCCCCCACTCTGTTTTCATTTTTTTCAATTAACCATCAACTTTCCATGGTTACTGAGCATATTCAGCCCTGTTTTGGAATGGTTCTGTTATCCCATATATTTTTGAAGGGGGAGGTGGAAGAGGTGGATGTTTACTCCCACAAACCTTCCCTGATCATCCCTGTGGTGTCACAGTGGCTGTTTTTGGCCAAAATTATTGGCCATTATGCTTTTTCCATAAGTACTCTGAGAGAACTGCAGAATAATTATAAGAGTAATAGCTGCTGCTCTTTGGCTTCCCAAAAGATGCCTTGGTGGTTACCGTTCTCCGTTGCTACCCCTGCTTTATGTCCATGATCCAATATCTTTTTCCTAAGGCCTCAGTTCTGATGACCTTTCCTCATAGGATATTCCTGAATTCTTAAACATTTTGCCCCTTTCTGCACATGCAATATATTTTTTGAAATGTGGTGACCGTGGAAGTATATTTCAAGTATGGACACACTTAAGACTTTTCTTTTTATTGAAGTTTTGTTCTGTCTTTCTTCCATCATGGATACCAAGGAAACATCCAAAGAGTTCCCAAGTGCTCTCCTGTCCAACACTGCCCAGGCTACAGACCTTTTTACTTGTAGGAAGGTGGCTGAAATATATGTTTGCATGCCCTGCTCTGGGTTGAATACTTCACTCTGTAGTAGGACAGCTTGAGAAGCTAAGCATGGAGCTCCTGAATGTACAGAACCTACTTCTGGGAAAACTTTTAGTGGGACTAACCTTTAGATGCAGAGACAGAGGAATATGGTACTGTAGAGATGTAACATATTGCTCAGTATAATGGAGATAGTGGTTAAACTCTCTTTGCTTGCTTTCCAAAACAGGTGTGCAGGAGCAACTACTAAGATCCTGGGAAACACCTCAGAAGAAATGAATCTGCAAACAAATTTCACTTATGAAGATGACCGAAAAATATATGTTGTGACAAGCAAGCTCCACTTTCACAGAGTAGATGAGCCTATCTTTATCCAATGTGCAGCTCAAAATCTCCTTGGTGCACACACTCAGCAAATCACACTGGTTCCATACAGTGAGTCCTGCAATATCCATCTTATTATTTTTTGACACACATGTAGATAAGTAATAGTGTTATTTCACTGGCGTGGGCAGAAGTGGTTTTGTATTCCCTAGCTGTGCTGTACATCGGTGATAACTATGGGTAATTTCCAGTTTAGTTTGCACCCAGCATCATCCCAGTTAGTCCCGATATTCAGATCACATCAAGCACATATGCCACTCAGCTTAGCTAGCAAAAATATAGCTTAATGCTATTTAATAAACATCAGTAAGTGTCAAAACATTTAACTAGCAAAAACATGAAAAACGCAGGCAGAAGCAGGGAAAGAGAAATATATGAACAACAGGCAATTTTTTTTTACATTATCTATCTATCAAAAAGCACAAAAGTTTTCAAAATTACTAGCAACAATACTATGGGTAATTAGCATGGACAGACTAAAAAGGAATATGGTAACCTTGTTATTTTAAGTCTCTTTATAAACCTTGCAGGTGAAAAATGGATTAAGAATCTAAATAAGTATATTGGGGCAGCATTGGTATAAGTAAATTTAGTAATTCTGTTTGTTTCTTGTTTTAGATCTACCTTTTAAAGTGATCGTTATTTCAGTAATCGTGGCTTTTGTGATTCTTATGGTTCTTTTCCTGGTGATCCTCATTTTCTTGTGGCGAAAAGTAAGAATCTGCTTTTAGCCCTTAGTGTCTCAGACTATTCAATTATCAGCTTTTAAATAATTATGCTGAATTTCAGAGAACAATTGGCTGAACAAACTCCTGAAGCCATAGGAATAATAGCTCTAACAATGATAGTTGATTTGCTTAACTTCAATTATTATGACCTGTGAGTCTACTATGTCAAGGTTCTGAGAATAATCTGAAATGCCAATCAGAGATTACAGTACTTACAAAATTCCCCATAATGTAGGACATATATATACTTGTCTATAGGAGATAGTATTAAAGTTCAAAAGTTTGTAAAATATTTTTTATTTTTATAGCATGGAAGCTAACAAAGCTAATGGAGCTGCTTTTAAATGACTGTTTTGGGGTCCCAGTGAATGAGTGGGATTAGTTACAGGCTGTGTTATCCTTATTCAAAGACGGGTTATTTCTGTGCAGAAACTTCTGCTGATGTTGTAATGTACCACTTGAATTTCTTTAGCTCTCTTAAGGAAGGGAGGGAGGCAGCACTTGGAGAAAGGCCTTTGTACGTAAAGACAGATTATAGGTTTGGCTGTGCAATAATACCTTGTGCAAATTGCACAAGGAGGAGATCTCCAGAGGGATCCTCTTCTTGCAGTGGAGTAGCCTGCCATCTTCTAACTCTTTTGTTTCTTTCTATCAGAAGCCTCGATATGAAATTCGCTGGAAGGTGATTGAGTCCGTCAGCTCTGATGGGCATGAATATATCTACGTGGACCCTATGCAACTGCCTTATGATTCCAGCTGGGAGGTCCCAAGGGACAGGCTGGTTTTAGGTGAGAAGAGGAGGAGCAGGATAAGAGAGACATTTAATACATAGAAGTTAGATGCCACTGTATGACAACAGATAGCATTCTTGCAATTAAAATTAGGGTTTTTTTTTAATGCAATTCTATGGGGAACAGAAAGATTTAATCTATAATGAAACCATTTTACTGATTCTTCTTTGTTAAATATGTAAATAGGGAGTGAAGCCTTGGACAAAGGTTTCACTCAGGTCCGCATCCCAGGTGAGAAAAGGCCGTAGTTTAAAATCATTGGTGCACATCAAGAAGCAAGAAAACAGAGCAACCTCAGTGGGCAGGCTGCCAGACAACTCCCTTTAAAAGAGGGAGCTGTTGAGGGACTTCCAGGGTGATGTCACAGTGGTGTGGTACTGAAAAAATGGCGTTCCATTCTTTCTGACCAATTTTTTGCATCTGGAGGCCGGTAGAGGCAAGGTCTGACCCTGGAGGGGTCAGCATCGTAGACGGGATACTCTAGGGATGATGGGGAGAAGAGCGATCCCCCGTTGTGGAAGGAGGAACCCCTTGAATTCAGTGTGAAAGAGACCTGTAATGGTCGGGTCCGGAGGCATGACAGTCTGACTGAATGGTGGAGGAAGCAAAGAGTGAGAAGCAGCGAGAAGTATCAGTGGACAGTGACAGGACAAAGTGAGATACTGGGTTGCTTCTCTAAATCGGTGGAAGCTACAAGCTGATGGACAAGTGAGTCTCCAAAGTGGGAAGACTCTGGCGCCTTGGTGGTGGGAGTGAAGTACTGAGAAGACGGTAAAAAGAGGAGGGTGTGTGAGCTGACGATCTGAATGAGAACTGTGTTGGAAAATTGTATTAACCAGCGAAACTGAATTTGCGGCGATGGATGTCGAGTGATTAGAGATTGTGGATCATGGAAAGTGGATAAGAAAGGAATAAGCACAAAAGTATTTTTCAATACAGACTGAGATGTTAAGGCTTGGAGAGCAAAGAGAAATGGCAGTGACTGTGCATATTAGAGGGAAGCTGACATTTTGGATCTGGAAAGTGGAGGACGGAGGAGTTTTAGACGGAACAGCAAGACTTAGAAGAACTCTTTTGAAACTGGTGAAGGACTTTGGATTGCATATATCAGATACCAGCCATGTATATTTACTATTTATTACTTATTACTGTGTATATTTATATTTAGTATATATTATTTAAATTATTGATGGTAACGTTTATATAACTAATACGAACTAGTAGTTATATATATATATAAGTTATATATATAACTAATATATATAAGCCTAATACGAATTTTATAATGGGTGTATGTTTGTTTTAATCTTTCTATATATTCGATTTTAAATTGTTTTAAACTTTGTAAATTTATATGTGTTTTAATATGGCTGTACACCGCCCTGAGTCCTCCGGGAGAAGGGCGGTATAGAAGTCCAATAAACATAAACTGCATAGAGGTATACATAGGTTTATATATTGGATATATTTATAAATAGATAAATTTATAAATTGATTAAGAGGTAATATTTGTCGGGTCTTGATATACAAAGCCTAGTTAATATTTTGGATATACAATTTTTATTTATTATATTTTATCTGCTTGGGTATTAGTAAATGAATTGAGATTGAAATTGATAACGGTATTGTTAATCAGAACTGTTGAACTATTAATTAAATAAGTAATTATTAACATTGGAAAATAACGGTTAAGTTATAGAGAGAATATTGATGTAGGATAAAGATCTATCTAATAATAGTAGATATATGATAAGTGAGCAAAGTAGAAGGAATTTTTACTAGAAAAAGGTTCTTTGAGAAAGTAAAGAATAGGCAATTTATGGTACTGTAGAAGAAGCTCTTTAAGAGTTTAAGCATGACAAGTACGGCAACGATCACTAAATCTGCGAAAAAAAATACACAGATGACAGCCTCCCCAGCAGGACAGAAATTAATAGGACATATGTTGGGAGGTGAAAAATCAGGTTCCTCATTAAGTTTACAGAGTATGCAGTCGACATTGAACATGATTCAAGAGGTGATCCTGAAAACGCAAAAGTCTATAGGTAAGAACCATGAGGAAATGAAGAAAGATAGGGGCGAAGTGAAAGAAGACACATGGAAATTAGACGATAGAATGGGGGAAATACAGGAGACAATTGCTAAAAATGAACAGAGAATAAAGTCAGTGGAGGCAAGAACAGAGCAAACAGAGAAGAAATTGGAAGAAATGGAAGAAAGACTGTTGGCAGCAAATCGAGATTTGGAAGAGGCAATAATACACCTTGAATTAGATAAATCTGCTTTGTATTTAAGATTTCAAAACATAACAGAAAATAAAGAAGAAGACCTTATGAATCTCATGACAGAACTGTTGACTGATAATCTGCGGATGAATAAACTTGAAATGCAGAATGGCATCGATGAAATTTATAGAGTGCACACTAATTATGTGCGGCGACACAAGTTACCACGAGAAGTGCACATACTCTTTTTAAAAAAATGATCAGAGATGAAATTTACAGGACACGAGATATACTGTTGACCTATAAAGGAAAAGAAGTGTTGACTCTTAAGCAAGTACCCAGAAGAATTAGAGAACAAAGGCGGAATTATCAATTTCTCTCCTCACAACTTGTTAAATACAAGATAATGTTCCGGTGGCTCTTTCCAGAGGGTATGCTAGTATCCTGGCAGGATAAGAAAATTAGACTCAATACACTTGATAAAGCCCAAGAAGTTTATGAACAATATATAGTAAGAGAAGAGGAACAGGAGAGTGAAGAAGAGACAGAAGGCAAAAGCAAGGAAGAATAACATCTGGAAGAAAAGGAGTTAGCCAAAGAAGTAACAGAGAGGACTGAAAGAGAACAACAAGAAAGGGAGGGGGTAAGGACAAGGACGCAACGGGAGATAAAAGCAAGGAAAGGAACAAGGACTATTAACAAACAATAATATGGAAGAAATTAAATTAATCTCAATCAATATAAACGGTTTAAATTCTCCGGCTAAAAGAAAACAAGTACTTTCCAAACTCCAAAAACAAAATATGGACATTACATGTTTACAAGAAGTCCATATTAAAAGACAACAAGGTAACATTTTAGAAGCCCCCAAATTAGGGAAACTCTATTTGGCTCTTGCATTAAAAAAAAAAAGAGAGAGGGGTGTAGCAGTATACATAAAGGATTGGCTACAACCGAGACAAATTACGCAGACGATGAAGGGAGAACACTATTAATTGAAATAATAAGACAAAAATGAACCCCATTGGCAGTTATCTATGCACTAAACACTAAACAAAGGGTATATTATCACAAACTGCATGGGAAAATAGTAGAATTAGAACTGGAAAATATTTGCTTATTAGATGATTTCAATGCGGTGGCAGATCCCAAAAAAGATTACACATCTGGGAAAAAAAAATAAAAGAAAGAAGAGAAAAACACTACCAACTACATTTTTGGATATGCTGCAAGAGCTGAATTTAAAGGATATTTGGAGAGAATTAAATCCACAAAAAAGACAGTATACCTTTTTCTCTAACCTACATGATTCATGGTCCAGGATAGACATGGTATGGATGGATTTGGAATTAAGTAAAAATATAGCGGAGGTAGAGATAACACCAAATACATAAGTGGACCATAATCCGCTAATTATGAAATGGAAGGGAAGAGTAAAAAAGAGAGGGAGGGGGACCATGAATTGGAGAGTGCTAAAAGGGGGACCAATCTCATACTTAATGTTAACTATAAAATATTTGTGACAATAATGGCCGAAAGGGCCAAAAAAATATTAAATGAAATTATTTATTCTGATCAAAATGGATTTTTGCCCAATAGACACATATAAGAAATAATACACAGATCATTATGAACACATTAGAATATTATGAGGCTCATCCTGAAAAGCAAGTGGCATTAATGTTTATAAACCAAAAGGCCTTTGATAATTTAAATTGAAACTTTCTTATTAATCAATTAAAAATTATGAATTTTGGGGGAAAAAATTACAGGAATGATTCGGTGAAAATAATAATAAATGGGGAAGCAATGGAGGATATTAGTATAACTAAAGGGGTAAAACAGGGATGTCCCAAATCCCCTCTTCTATTTATACTATCATTGGAAATACTACTGATACAAATTAGGCAAAACCAAACAATAAAAGGACTGAAAATCAAACAGGAAGAATACAAAGTACAAGCTTTTGCAGATGATCTGGCTTTCATTATAGAAGATCCTTTGGAGACGGGAACCATATTAGTGCAGGAAATTGAAGAATTCGGTAAAGTGACAGGGCTCAAAATAAATACAGAAAAAACTAAAATACTAACTAAGAATCTTACAAAAAGGCAAAATAAGGAATTGGAAGAGAAATTGGGGGCCAAATTGTTAAAAAAGTGAAGTATTTGGGAATTTGGTTGATGGCAAAATGTTCCTCGCTAAAAGAGGATAATTACGATAAATTAGTACAACAGATACAAAAAGATTTAGATAATTGGGCAAAATTACAAATATCGCTAATTGGCAGAATCGCCACAGTAAAAATGAATGTATTACCCAAATTGTTATATCTCTTCCAAACAATACCAATAAGACTAGGGAAAACCTTCTTTGAACAATTAAATAAAATAATAGGTAAATGTATTTGATATGGGGAAAAAAGCCTGAATAAAACTTAAACTTTTACAGGATTCTAGAAAAAAAAGGAGGTTTTGGCCTCCCTGATTGGGAATTATACTATCAAGCGGTGGCAGCGACGTGGCTTAAAGATTGAATCCAATTAAACAACAAAAGGGTATTAACGCTAGAGGGCCATGATCTCCAACTGGGATGGCACACATTCCTGTGGGAAGGGATAAACAAAACTCATACATACTTCCAGAGACATCTAGTGCGAAATGCTTAGATAAATATTTGGGATAAAATTAGGAAAAACAATTACATGAAAGTTCCAATTTGGAAATCAACAATGGAGGCAATAATTTATCCAAACATAATAGACAATAAATG